AATCTCTGAGTCAAGTACCAGTTCGAACCCCTCGAAAACCTCCATTAATCGATTCAGCACCCGCTTTACTTAAAGCATATGCAAACTGAGGCATCAGTACCCGGGCACATATGGTTGAGCACAAACTCAATTAACGAAATCACCAATAAACCCTGGACAACAACGTTCACTCTCATACCCTTTCATTTCTACTAAACATGTCACAGTTCCTTTTCTGATGTTCACCAAACATCTTTCGCTTTTGCAATTGCATTCGTAACTAATCTTGATGCATAGGTTAAATTAGCTTAATTTCCAGAGACCGCTAAGCTTTCGTGGTTTTAGTTTGCTTTATATATGCAACAGCCCGATAACTAGAGATGCAAAACCCTACTATATAGTAAAAGGATCAAAGATACCTGACAAGAAATTGAAGGCCTCCTCCAAAATCCATATCAAGATAAGAAATTGCAAAAGAGCCTTTCACGAGGTGCTATCGAAAGTGGATAGTAGGAAAAAATGGATTGCGATTCTTCTCCTCAGTGGAATCTTGCCACGACGTCGTTTGTATTGGGTCGCAAAAGGTCAATTAGAGATGTGAAATCATTTTTAAAAATCGTCAAGTTGAGAGGTGATATCAGTTCCAGGAAAAATGCCTACTTCTTTTCCCAATGGTTCCGAACTCGCTCTCATTTTACTGCCCTTTTTGATATGTCTTCAGTCCTTTACATCTTTCTTGCTATACAAGAAGATCTTATATGGCTGGATAGTTGGGTGCAGCAACTATACACGCAACACTCCAATTTTCACACGACAGAGTTATGTTGTTTGATACGCGCCACTTGCTCGGCTGACATTGGGCGGACCTAACTAGGGGGCCACTATTCCTGGTGTACATGCTTTTCACTTGGCTTCTGCAGATGAGCATTCTCGCTCAGAGTTGTTAGATGGTAATCTTTTTATAATAGAGAAGTGAAAGCACAGCCTTGGTCGTGTGCTCGGAAATGAACGATGGTTAATAATTAATCTCCGCAAGGTTCATTTAACAGCAGATCTCGGAGAAGCATACGTTAGTAATCGCTTTTTCCATAGCCTTCGAATCACCATTGTGGAGACCTAACCTGAGCTCTTTGGAACAAATAGGCAGGAGAAGAATCTTATATGTGTCATGCTAGAAAGCAAAGGAGCGCACACTTGGTATAAATCACTGATCAATTCAAAGATTTTGTTCGAACCTATGTCTTGGGCCTCCGCTTTAAATGCATACGTCCATAAACCGGCTATTAATTGGTCCAAATCTATTTTATTTTTTTTTTCAGCTCAAGTGAGGAGTTCACCTGAGGATACTTCGAGTTCTGGTCATTGGTAAATTTGCAACGAGTCTTCCCTAAAAGACTACGATGACTTCAATTGGCAAGTGACCTCCTCGCCCCCTCATTCTATTCCGTCTTCTACCGACCACAAGTCTCGGTGGATGATGATTTCCACTAGTCCAGGTTATCCTCTATTTATGCTGACTGCCGCGACGGCTGCGACGTGACCTTGTTTCGACAAAAGCGCGGCACAAAGCGCACCCTTTATCCCGAAGCTTGAGATGAAATGACTGATGTTATGGAGCGATTCCTATTGTTTCATACCGCTAACAACTTAGAAATTGTCTGAATTAAATGAAACATGTAAATCTACCGACACATTGGACAACATCATGCTTCCTAGGTGAATGGGAATACTGGCTGGATAGAAAACGCCAAATAAACGATTTTTGAGAAAAAGGGACTCTGATAATACGGCGAAGATGGGAAAATTAAGGTTTCACACATTCGTTGTACCCTTTGTCACGATATACTCATGATGATACTCACGAAGGAACCTCTGGAACCATGGGTCCTGGAATTTTATGTGCTATTGTGGATGGTTATGGGGTATCATGTCATCAACGAACCGAAAGTTGCAAGCTGGTACTATGAAGCCTCGAGATGAAACAGCGGAGGGTTCCTACAGAAGCATCTATCCTGATCACATACGTGGATACACAGCTGCGGTAGTATCTACGAGATCGTTTTAAGATTGCCTATTTATGCAAGCCTCTTGATTGAGAGTCTACAATTGATAAGGCTGCCCGACCCTCGGAATCCACGAAATCCATGTTCTTGGAAATCTATAAATAAAAATAAATATGAATATAGATTATGAGGGAGTATTCTTGGAACTTGCAATCTTATCAGTAGTTTTCCGTCATTGATGCCTCGTATAGATGTTAGGGTTATAGTATACATTTGTACATGTACAATCAGTTTCAGCCTATTCAGTACTGACGCAGACCACAAATTCGAGGTAGTGAATTCGTCGGCGCAAACTAGATGAAAAAGAAGCTCCTCTACCTTTTGCTTTGACCTAACAGAAGGTGTCTTCACATTCCCAACTATCAATAGTTCGGAATATATGTCGTGCAACACTTCTAACATATTTGTTCAGAAACATGCTGGAGCCCTTTTCAATTGCTTGTGCTACAGAATGTTCCGAATTCAAGGAATTTGATATTGGACGCAAGCAGCAGAGTCTGGAGCCGTCAGACTCTACGAAGAATTAAGCTATCATTCGAATTGTCGATTACGAGTTCTAGGGGGCACTGCCGAAAGCGCTACAGTGAACATCGCGCTGTATTCAAGAAGGGTGTTATTTACCAACCGACGTGTTCCAGTGGTACGAATGCATTGCTTCTGGACAAATTCCATCGGGAGACATGCAACGTACTGGTCGCCAAAGGGAAAGGATCTTTATCGAAGTGCTTTACACTGCCACTATGGTGAAAGCCACAATCTACGCTAGTCAGTTGCAAAAAGCGACCGATGTAATGCGAGAATTAAGCCCGAAAAGACTAATTGACAAGTGTATCTCCACACAACGATAAGGAACGCACGAAACATGGCAAAAAATTATGGAACGCGGTTGGGAAGTGTTGTCACATCCAGCTAAACAACAGACTTACATCTTTTGATGGCACCTATTTAGAACCCTTAAATACCATCTAAAGAACAAAAGTTTTGATGATTGTCGTCAACTCGAAAGTGAATCGACCGGTTTTTGTTGTAGCAGCTGTCCAAATTCTGAAATAGGAGAATCGAGAAGCTGCCTGGAAGATAGGCACGTGCCCTTTACAACCAAGGTGAATATCTTTTTGATTAGAGATTTTGCTTAATAAAGAAATATGAATAACAGTAATTTGTTCTGAGTCCTGCGAAACTTTCATCCTAATCCGGGTAATATCCTCTTCACCATATCGAAATAATGATAGGGACGCCGAATTTGGTAGACTTGGGATGGAGTTTCTAGTTTGAAGGGAGATGGGAGGGAGGGAACGCGATGGTTGAAGCCAGAGATTGGGTTGCGCTAAGAGAGAAGATTTCCAAACAACCTAATTCACCTTCAATGCCATTGACAAAAACATTAAGGCTCTCAGAATGCCTGTCTGACTTAGTCCTGCTTTTTATTCTCAAACCTTGTGGATATCTATTACGTTGAAAGCACCTTCAATATTTACGCAGTATTTTAGGCCCCGACAATCACCGAGATGCTTCTTGGCCTTACAAGTCTCCAAGGTTTTTGACTTATGTGAGATTTGTCTTCAATCGAGTCTGATTAGAATGTTGTTGAGGGGATCACCCTCGGTCTCCTCCAATGGAAGTTGATCACAGCACAGTAGTTTTAGAGGTTTATCCATAACAACAAGACTCAGTAACAATCGAATATTATAACAGCGAATAACGACGAGTGGAACGTGAAGACGTCGAGCGGAGGTCGGCGGACGGGAACGATGGGGAGTTGCAGCTGGACGAGGCAGCCATTCCGCGTGTCGGTCGTATCCTCCAATACCGCTCCTCGGTGCTCCCCTCCTCTCGCCTATCGCCGCCTGTAATCAACAGAATCATCGAAGCCTGGGAAGCTGCAATGAATGAATCACCATCGATCTGCCCCCTGCTACTTAGGTCACTCTAACTAACTCTTACATTAGTAATTTTTGATGCCAAAAAGGGCGGTGACGAAACAGCCTCTGTCCCTGTGCTTTCTTTAGCCTACTTAATGTATACGTCTCCCCACATCAACCAACTTCTCGTGGTTTCTTCCCTAGTGAAGGCCCTTTCAGCAAATGAAGCTGATTTGCCGATATTGTCCACGGCTTTAAGCCATTAAGAAACATTAGGTATCCGGATAGCACAAGTGCTGATTTGAGTCCCGTCCGGGGCCGACGTTTTGTCTGAAACTCGCGAAGCTTATGGTACTGAATATGCTTGGGGAAACGAATTGTCCTCCATATCGGCATGTTTCATAAATGCATAAGCAACTGTGCAAAACCTCGACTAGCATGGTAGGATATCAGCCAGGGTCTACTGAAGCTGCTTTGCACTCTACATGAAAGAAGAATCGATGAGTGAGGAACGGTAGATAGTCCTGGTCTACTAAGGCCTACCTAGACAATATGGAGGATGAACTGATCAATTCGATGGGATTAGAAATGCTAAAGTTGCTTTCTTTTCTTGACGAAAGGTTTTTCTGTCGAATTCTTGACAAGGTCTGCGCAGAGGAAATTGTTGAAGGGACTTTGTTTCAAAGCGGCGTAAACAAGTCGAAGGATCACATGTAATTCGAAGGTACTTTTTGTCTAGAAGGATGACTGTTAATGAATTTTTTCTCTTTGTACCGGCTCCATGGAGTGTTGGGTGTGCGAGAGGCAACTTTTACCATCTCTTCGGGAAGTAAAAGTCAGTTGTTTCACGTCGAATGGAAGTGCACTTTAATCATTTAGAGTATTTTTCTTCTGTAGTAAATTCAAGTGATGCATAGCCATTTCTATAATAGGGTGGAAATTAGCTCCAAACATTTTATTTCTTCCAGATAAAAATCTCTCCAAAAATAGACGAAAAGGCAACTGCCGTCAGCCGTCTTGATGAATAGCTTGATTTTTCTTGTCAAAGTTGATACCCGATCAATTTCAAAAGTAAATCTACACATCGCAATCATAATTAGTACCTGGGTTGACGAAAATTGATACAACAAACAAGACAGATCCAACCCGTCAAGGTGTAAAAGGCCGTTGGAGTTGAATCTTATACTCAAGCATCCATGCAGATTGTGCCACCACACAGCCACAACTTCTTTTGCTCTCTGAGCTTGAATAGTCCATCCCTGTAAATAAGCTCCAAATGCTCTGCGAGAGGCACTTATTTTTACCCACTATGTACCTGAGCTTCAAAGCAGTGTCGGAGACTGAGCAAGGATTCCTCCTTACTAATATGTCTCAAGCAGCTCAGGGAACAATAGAGATTTTTTTTCTCAATGAAATATATCTTCAAGACTAAGAGCCCCTTCGAGAGTCGCATTTTTTGTTGAACTGCACGATTTGTTTCCTATCCGCAGAGTTCAATACAAATCTCATTGTGCCAGTTACAAGTGAGTAACCCTACTCCTAACAATGTCTTTTCCACTTTTGTCTGAACCATTCTACACGGGATCAGGTGCACACCTAGTCCATTGGCTTCATATGTTTGCAACAGTCGATCCTTCCCGAGTTCGTTTACTCGTCAAGGAACGGTTCACACGTTATTTCAGGAACGATGGACCAGCCTGAGTCCAATCAAATGGCGATTTTCTGTTCGCTATACGCTGCAAATAAGGATCAGAAGGAGTACCGCAAACTGTCGAAAGCCGAGCGACGAAAGCGAAGGCGAGCGACACCAAAGTATCGAAATCTTCACGCTACGAGAGAGCGGTGATTTTTAAAATTCTTTCATAACTAACGATTTGTCAAATGCGTTACTGCAGTCGCATTGGACACCATCACATACTTTAAATGGTGTTAGACAATCTCGTTATGCTATCCCGTGAGACTTGTTTCAATAAAGGGGAACGGTTTTTATGCACAATACCGAAGGGACAGAGAGGTCCTAGTTTGTGTCCTCATCTTTGACTTATTTCTAATCGCGTCCTGAGAGGAACGATGCATCTGGTGCTTTGAACAGATGTATCGAACGTTCCCCCTTATGAATAGAATTATCTAGGCAAAGATGTAAACCTCAAAGATGAAACACGGCGGAATACCGCAGCAAAGAAGTTCGCGTAATCATAAGTGAATGATCGGGCAAAAATCTTATTGCGCTTTTTTATTGGGAACATGCTTTTGAGGGCAGCAACAAGTGAACATCAAAACGTTCAATTACTGTTTTACGTTTTCTTAGTAAGTCACTTGAATTGGCATCAAAAGAAATAATGATTCCAGTAACTGTAAGTTTTGTTATCATACAGACCAGTCGGATCGATGTTATCATACAAACCAGTCGGATCGCCGGCTAACGTCGGGATTTCCTCCTTCTTGTGACAGAGTTGTGATAATCGGCTAACCCGCCACCCCTTCTTCAGAAGAGATGATACTTTTCCAATCATGAACTTTGACACAGGATTAACAGGGCAGTGCAAAAGGTGTTCAATACATGCCGATGTTCATCACGCCTATGATTAGAAGTCTCTATCTGTTGCTCTTCATCTCGAAATTAATTACCTATCCTTCTTAATAGAATTCGCTAAGTATACCCATTTGTGTGTCGGTGTGAGTGTGTGTGTGTCGGTGCAGTGTTTGAAAAGAAATTCATAACTTCTGTTCCCGTGGACCCAGTGAGTTCAAATTTGGTGGGAGTACGGGGACGTGATGGAAGTACTTATGGCAGGTAGCAGGACGAGACTCCGCCTACAGAGGCGATGCGGGCGCAATAGAAATTTTGGACCGCAGATTTATACCTTCTGTTTACGTGGACCTAGCGCGTTGAAATTTGGTAGGAGTACAAGCGACAGGATGGGAAAACTTATGGTGGGTGGCACGGCTATACTCCCACGAGGGGTGGGGTTTGCGCACAGATGATGTTTAGCGGAAATTCGTAACTCCCATAACTTCGTAACTCGTTCCCGTGGGCCTAAAGAACTTAAATTTGGTAGGATTACAGCTTCTCGTATTAACAGTGAAACCTCAGCCTTTTAATAAGTGATGTAGGATATGAAAGGATCGTACGTACTCGGTGACAGAAACGATAATCACTATAAGAGAAGATAAGGTGTCTAAGAGAGCAAGAGCCACCCACCGATTAAAATCCTAATGCATTCGGTACTCACGATGCAGTTTTGGCTTTGACACGTTTCACTCGATAAGACGGGATGGGAGTTCAGGGTGGCAAAAGTGAGTGGTAAGTGCATTGATAGGAACCCATTGATCGCACCATGATAAGCAGAATGATTTCGTTCATTTCTTGCTACCAGTTTACGACCGCTACCCACCAAGATTGCGAACCAATGGAGGATCCTCATTGTTCGATGTCGTTTGCAACAAAACTTAACCGACCTATATATCTGAAACTCAAAAAGGTCCGTTGATAACATCTGGTAATAGTGTTATCATCGTTCGAAGCATTTGTGAGTACCGCCCAGGGTTTTGATTACCTAACAGTTGAATATTTAGGGGTATTTATATCTAAGAAAAAACAAGACTTCCATCTAAAGGCGTAAGCATCGGCTTACACTGATTGTACTGCTCTGTTAGTCCTGCGTCAAAACCCGTGCACAGAAAAAAATATCTGTTTCAGAGGAGTGGTGAATTAGCCGATTATACAACTTTGCAGAAGAAGGAAGGAAGCCCGGCGTTAGCCGTCAGCCGGGCGTACCTACTGGTGAAAGATTAAACTATTAGGCAAACAGGCCATGAATGGTACTCACAGATGTTGTCGAACGATAATAATGCACATTATCAGATGTCGTTATCAATGGAACTTTTTTCTGCACGGATTGATTATTGATTGGGTCCCAGATCAATGGGGACCGGATAAGTTTTGTCTCATATGATATCGGAACAAAGAGAAACCGTGACTCTTCACTGAGTCATAAACCTTGCTGGGTAGCGGTCGTACTCTAATAGCAAGAAATGAACCAAATTTTTTCGTTACGGAGAAATGTATTTGAACTGCGCTATCACTGCATTGACATTTCAAAGAGTCATTGTTTGATCGTTAATACCAAACCGTTTAGATTCAATAAGTAAGTTGCTCTCGCTCTCAGAGGCCCTTGACCACCTCTTATTAGTTGTTATCAGTTCCTGTCACAGAGTACCTACGGCTACGTCACATCCTGCATTACCTATTTAACTATCAAGTTTCCACTGTTAACATGGAGGGTAGTACAGACCTAGTGGCTCTAGCCTCCTCGGATCTTCGTCAACCCTTGACCGCTTGTTATCAGTCCTTGTCACCAATCGACTTTGGTCTCTTCACATCTCACACCGCCTACTAAAGTGGTCCACTATTATTATGAAAGACTATGTAGGCCTAATGACTCTCACCTTCTATGGCTCGTTATCATTCTCTAACTGTTGTTATCAATCCCAACCACTGGTTATCTGCAGTCCCTTCTTAAACAACACCCCTTACTAAAGTGCCGTGGCTCCACCGTTAACACGAAGGAGGTAACAGATCTTGCGGCTCTCGCCTTCTAGGACGCTTTATCAGCTCCTTTTAATTGTTATCACCTCTATACCTTTTCATAGTAGTTCCCGTCTTGTCGCTTGTAATCATAATAAATTTCAACATCTAGGTCCAGGGAGACAGGAGTTATGAATTCGCGGTCAAGTACACACACCGACATACCCACACACACACACACAAACATACCGACGAAATCATAGAACACATTCAGAGAATTATATATTGTGCTAGGATGTATTCGAAATGATGTGATAATTAGATTGACTTCGTTATTTGATAGACCTTTTTCACTTACCGATGGGCCTGCGCACGATAACGTGCACAACAACTCCCTGGTTTTCAATGAATGAACTATTTATTTTATTTATTTATTTCATACGCTATATAAGACAGCGTGAGAAAAATATAAATGCGAAACAACCGTAAATGAAACTCAACAACAATTCCTAACAAACACAAGATACTTGACACCTATGCTTGTAGTAAAAGGTTTGCTGCGGACCGTTTGAAAGAAGTACTAGAGCTTCGAATGGATATAGATTTGTTGATACGCAAAAAAGATAGTCCAGCCCTAATAGTAAAAAAATTTCGTCTAATTGTAGTTTTCGGCCTATGAAAAGATAATTTGAGTTCTCCACCCCTGGTTTTGGATGGGATGAGATCATAGAATCGTGGAAAATCAATTACAGCTTTGGAAGTAAGAACTCTATGCAACATACACAAATCAAAGAGGTCACGTCTTGAATGCAAGGAAGGAATCTGGAAATATTTGTTTCTTATGGATGCGTTTGGGATTCTGGAATATAAGAAACCACCGCGACGCACGAGGACTTTTCTCGTGAAGTTGTTTTGAACTTTTTCGATGAGAGCCGAATCCTTTTTCTTATGCGGATAAAACAAAACGGTTCCACTCTCGACCAGAGGTCTTATATAAGTCTTATATACACGAATAAGAACCTTGCTGTCATTGGTCGTAAGAGCCTTGAATATCTGGTAGGTACGTCGAAGTGCTTTTTTGTGCACTTCTTTGTAATAATCGGAAAAATCAAGTTTGTTGTTATATAAATACCCTAAATCTTTGACCTTTTCAACCTTTTGGATCTCCTGACCATTTATGAAATATGAGGAAGATTGAGGAGCTGGAGGTCCTATGCGCATGTAACAGGTTTTAGTGGTAGAGATCGGAATCTGCCACT